AAAAAAATTTTTTTTTTCAGTTACCACAGTGTTGTTCACGAATATACATAAAGCAACAATGTTGTATCAGAGGAGGTTTGCATGTGTAACTAGAAGAATTCCAGAGAGCCGTATATGTCAGCCCAGGTCCTAGGCCTAACCACGGAAGAACTAAAAAAGCCTAAAGGGAACGTACGTGTACATATACTGTACGTCCTGCTGCACAACGTCACGGACAAGACCGGGGTAGAGCGCTTTGGCGACTATAGTTTTACACTTTCAAATATTGAGGTATTTATGTGCTTCAACAAATTACACACCTGTCTGGATGTCGTCGAGTATTGTCACAACCAAACACAGCACAGTGATCACCAATTCCCATCGTAAACGGCAAACAAAGACTGCAAGCAAACTTGAGGAATCCGTTGTCATGAGAATTTCACTCGGACTGTCCTAACGTAAGCGCGCGGTGGCGCCCTATCGACCCTTTTGCATCCCATGATTCCTTGCGGTCGCTATTTGCGATACACAATAGCATGGCAGCAAGGGCTTCTGGGTAACCCTTTTGTCAGTGCCATTTTCAGTGATGTTGTAGCAAAGCGGCAGTTTTTTGGATCAAAGTTACCAGATTTCCAGTAAAATGCTAGGTACAGGAAAAAAAAGAATACTTTAACGTAACAACTAAAACTGCCTTTTGTAAAGGAGCATAAATTTTACAATGAATTTGATGAACTTTTTACTAGCAAGGCAAATGAAAAAGTACCCCACTGTGACATCAGAGATAATTCATTTTAAAGTAAACAGAATTTTCGAGGATAAAATTAAGGTTTAAAATGAAATCAATCTTTTCTTGTAATGTAACCGTTTGCATTTGCAATTTTCGATTCAAAGTAAAATTTATCCTAAGTTTGAGGGATTGGTTTCGGCGAGTAAGATCAAAATACCGAGATCGGAAGTCCCTCAAAACTTAATCAAAATGAAAAGAATCAAAGTGAAATGTTAACCTTCCTAGGAAAAAGGGGTTCGCCACGCAGACCGCCTCTTGAAGCGGAAAGTGTGGTGAACCCCTTTTTTCTGGTTTGGAAGACCAGGATTTTGTGTTCGTCACTCAGAATTTCAACTGCTGTTAATGTTAGAGTGGACTCACTGGACTGCAGAAATTCCCTTAGAGGTTAGTTTTCACTCACCAATCCCGAACACACAATTTTTTGCAAAAAAGACTAACCCTTGGTACATTAAATTGTTGGCACAACTTGATATTTCAAAATTTTATCTTGGCAAAATCAGTGAACTATGCCAAGGAAAAATGTTCACATGAACACTTGAGTGAAATGGACCTGCACAGTGTGCCAGTTGCAAGATCATCTAACGCTAAACTCAGAAGTTGAACATCCTTCCCCAGGGTCCTACAATGCACAAAGACTTCTTAATTAAAGTCTCAAACTTCAAATCATGCAAAACATTGTTTATGCAAGTCTGAACACAAATAGATTTTTTGAAGGTTTAGCTGTTTCTTACTGACATTGATAGGGGAATTAAAGTTAAACCATTCCTTGGGCATTTCTCGACCCACTTAATGAGACTGGAGTAAATTCCTCATTAGACCTGTGCCTAATACTTTAACAGCTTCCAAACTAGATAGGACATTTGAGGAAGCGTTTGGATTTTTGATGTCTCATATGTCATTGACGAGAAAATATGCTTAATATTCTTGAACACTTCGCGAACTTCTTCCAACTGGCCTACGTATGTTCTTGCACTGGGGTCATGTGACATAGTTTAATGTTTTCTGCAACTATGGTGAATGAACAAGCCAGAGTTGAAGTAAAAAGGCCAAGGGAAGATACATATGCAGACCTGCCAACCTTTTGTACTCCTTCCTGATGTCAAGCAATACCACACAATAGATGAAATGGTATTTAATGAGCCTTAAGTTCTTTCAAAATTCTAATCTATTATGTGGTGATGCCTGACCTCAGGAGAGAGTACGACAGGTTGGCAGGTATGCATATGAGGCAATCACAACTCACAACCAATAACACAAAACGAGATCAAGCTTTTCAGACAAGATATTTATTCCGTAGAATGAGCTGAGATGTATTCAATTATTAGCAAAAGTTATATGTGCATGATATGTGCATAGTTCTCAGTGACAAGGTAAGGGAAGATTTCTAGATATTGTTCTGCCACTCCCCAGAATCTTTTTTCTGTTTCTGCTATTCTGCTGTAGACCAAAACACAAGTCAGATCTGGTTTGAAAAATCATAAAAATGTGTAAATCTTTTTGATAACAATAAAGACAATATAACACATTATGCCAACTGCTTGTTAAAAAGCAAAATGAAGAAATTCAAAAGTACACAACTAATTCTACATTACATGTAAAACCTGGAGAAAATTTGTAACAATTTATGATAAATTGTAATTAAAGAATTAAAAGACAACCCTTAGACATGAAACAAGTAATTTTGAGAATAGAATATAGATGTTGACAAAATTCCAATAGTCAAGGTTAAAGCAAAAGACATAAGAATAAATTCTAGCCAAGTACTGCTGCATCCATTCTTAATTTCTCAGTTTTAAAGGGAAACCAATTAGAAATTCTGCAAGTTGCTGAAACTATGCTGATAGCAACAAGGAAATTCACATGCTGGGTGTACAGCATACAGCACACTGAATTATTATTAAATTTGAGAAATATTACTGTCCAAATTTATACAGACAATATGGAAATCTATTCTGCCAAAAGTACTATAAGTAATGATAAAAAATATAAATAATATATTATTATTTCAAATCTTGCTAAAATGGTTTTCTGGCTTACAATACTTTTTCTGGGTATTTTGTACTTCTTTTCAGATACTGGATTCTGATTCATCTGTTTCATCCAACTCCAAATCCCGCTGTCTGATGACTTGATACTTGCGCGACATCACCGTCGGGCAGACTCGGACTGGACGCGATTCCACGCGACACGTGCAGCGATAACACAAGAGGGTGATATTGCACATCAGACTGACCAATGCTATCACAGTAGCCAGGACAAAACCTACTGCATAGGGGTCTTGCAAAAAAGTCTTAGAAGGAACGAGATTTTGGGAGTTGACGGCACGGTCGGCAAGGCACTGACCAGCTACAAGAAGAAACAAAAATACGATTTATATCAGTATCAATTATTTTTGGTAATAACAGCAAGGATTCCTCAAAAGCGTCCTGAGCACTGTAGCTTGCAAGCTTGAAGAAACCTGTAGAAAAGCAGTTACAGTTTTAGAGGTGGGAGGAAAACCCCAGAGGAATATTCTGGGTAAAACTCACTGAATCACATAGGGACTGAAAACTCATTCCGCATGTGGACCGAGCGAGGAATCAAATCCGAACTGCAGAGTTGGAAGGCGAGGAAATAACCACTACGCCAACCTGAACCCCCCCCAC